CCGGGCCGAACCGGGCCGGGCGGGCGCACCGTCGGGTGGGCCGTGCTGCAGTGCAGGCCGCTGCGGGCCGGGGGCTGCAGGGCGGTGGGGGGCGGCGGGGCCGGCYGGCCCTGCAGAGCTGGGGTGGCCACGGAGCTCACGGAGCTTCGGCCTGAAAACTCCCCTGGGCGTCCCCGAGAGCCCCGCACTCTGCAGGGACATGCCCAGCCTCAGGCTCCCGATGCGCTGGGAAGCGCAGCAGCCTCTTCTGCAGGTGTTTCTGTGAGACGCAGGAGCGGGTTGGAGCCAGGCAAAGGTTACGATGTGCTTGGGGAGACCTTCAGTCTCTCTCTGAGTCCCCCTCACTCCCCTGCCAGGTCCCCTCACCATATCCCCTCACAGGGTCTGTTGAAAACTCCAGCCAAGAGGGGAGCCGGAGGGGACAGCTGGACCTGGCACATGCGGTAGAGGTCTTTGGCTGCCTGCAGTGGTGTGTTGGGTGCAGCCCCTTGCAGTGCTTTTGCTGCTCCTTTTGCTCCACTGATTTGACTGTTTGTTTGCTTGTTTATTCGTGGTTCCACTCAAGGTCAGGGCTGGCAGGGCTCTTCTGGGGACACCTTGCCTGAACGGGTCAGTCACACTGGCCCATTAGCAGTACCCCTTCCTGGACTTTGGCTGTTGGTGCAATCCAGCATGAGGCTCTGTTCTGCTTATTGCATGTCCATCCCAGCAGTGCTGGGCTCCTTGCAGACAGGGATAGCTGGTTTACAGGCTGCATTTCTGGGATCTGACCGCATAGCTGGTTTACAGGCTGCGTTTCTGGGGTCTGACCGGGAGCTTGGACATAGTGCTGTTACCGATGGACCACACAAATCTTCCCTGGGGCACTAGATGATCCCTTGGGAGCCCAGGGATGCAGGGCTGGAGGAGACAGGTGCCTTGCAGGGCTACAGGGAGCACTGGAGTCTGTGCAGGAGAGATGCACTGCAGGAATCCCCCCCCCATTCTGCACTGTGCCGGGGGGCTGGAGAACACTCCCTGTGCCTGCTGCCAGGCAGGCTTTTGGTTTCCCTTGCCCTGCCAAGGGTCTCCTGGAGCTCCCTGCACCTCCCTGGTGTCTGGCAGGGGCTGTGGACACCTCGAGCAGGGGGTTGAGCTGAGGCATCCTGGCCCTGGCAGCAGAGATGCTCCCCCCTCTTCCAGGCCCTGCACCAGCTGCTGGGCTCCCAGGGACTTGCTGAGAGCAGCAGAGTTGTGTCTGAAGAAGCCCTTGGTGCTACTTGCGCCCTTTCTAACCTAAAGGCCAAGCAGCAGCTGCCCTTCTGCCCAGCCCTTCCCTGTACAGCCCAGCTCTTCACCAGGGCTGGAGAGGCCCCAAMATTGGCAGCCGCACAAGAGCTGGGGAAGGAAGAGGGTCCCCTGGGGCAGCGATGGGGCAGGCACAGCTGCTGTCTGCAGTGTCCAGGCTGAGCATTTGCGTTTGCACCACGCTGCCCCTGCCCAGCACAGAGGCACCCGCCWGGGCCAGGAAAGGGGACCCAGCGATGAGGGGGAGCTTTGCTGCAGCTCGAGTCCACAGCCATTTCCACGGCAAAGATCTGGCTATCAGAGAAGATGAGAAGCTGTTTAAATGCAGCCATCCAAAGTGCCTGTGCTAGAAATTCTGAGCCTGCAGGGCCGGCTGATCAAAGAGAGGATAATCCTGGGTTTAGGAAGGAAGAGGATAGGTCTGAAGAAGCAGTTGGTCCAATTTGGGTCAGGCTGTGAAAGAATGCAACCCAAAAGGCCACTCAGTGTGCCTGCTGGCTGCAAGGGAGAAGTGCAGCCCTGGGGAAGGGCAGCCTCCTGCCCCACTGCTGCGCTGCGCCCCGGGGCCTGGCGCTGCTGCTGGCGCCAGCGCCGCTCCCGCTGCTGGCACTGCCCCTGGCCAGGGGGGTCTGCTTGAGCCCCTGCCTGCGGCTCTGCCCGCCGGGCGCCTCACCCAGCACAGAGGAAATGCTGAGACCCAGCAAAAGGGCTGCAGCCCCGTGCAAAGGCACCAGGTGCCCACTTAGGTCCTCTTGGCCATTTCATCTGCCTTGGACACCTCCAGGCCCGCAGAGCCAGGACCAGTGAGCATGCAGTCTGGTCCCTGTGATGGCCAGGCAGGAACAGAAGGACTCCCCGGCCAGGTGCTCCAGCAAAATGGCAGCAGCTGGGAGCATCAGTGCTGGGCGCTGAGCTCGTCGTGCCCCGCAGCTTGCACAGAGCTGCCGGAGCTGCGCAGTGACCCTGGGGCTGCTCCTTGCAGACAGCAATGGGCAGAGTCCCAGGGAGCTGGAGGAGGCTGCTTGCCAGCCAGTGCCATCGAATGCTCTGGCAAAAGTCAAGGTGCCCTGGGCTCCTGGGGATGAGCTCTGAAGCATCCCTGTGGCCCGGGCACCTTGAGCGTGGCTGGTGATGGTCTCACTGCTTCCCACCCTGGGGCTCGGCGGCTGGGGCTGAGCTGGGGCTTGTGGGCACCAGTGCTCACACGGGCCCCATCCCTGGCTGGGGGCACCTGCAGTGGAGCTGCTGGTGCCGGGCTCAGAGCAGAGGGCTGGAAAGGGCTGGAAGGGCTGGAAGGGCTTTCCGGGTCTGCACCGCAGCGGGGCGGAGGATGCTGGGCAGGGGACACAGGGCAGGGAACTCCAGGCAGGAGACAGCATCTGGGCACTGCATCCCCTGGGGACAGAGGACGGCAGTGGCAGAGCAGGGAGCTGTGYGGGCTCCCGCAGAGCACCCCGGCCGCGGGTGCAGGGCCTGCAGCACAGGGCCCTGCTGGCTGCAGCAGGAGTGCTGACCTGCCTAACTGGTCCCGGAGGCTTGCACCCCTCTTTCCTCCTTCCCTTGGTGCTTAGCACCCTCCACCAGCAAAACTGGTGGTTTCCCAGACTTCCCAGCCCAGTTTGGGGCTGAGCAAGGAGCTACTGGGGGACCGAACCCTGACGCTGCTGCCCTGCAGGGCGGGCACAGCCAGCAGTGGCCCCACATGTCTGCCCCCCKGAATGATGCCAGGGATGAGGCTGGGGGCTGGTGGGGATGCCCGGCGCTGGGCGGGAGGGCAGCCCCGCCGCACGAGGAATGATGCGATAGCCGCACCGGGGCTGTTGTTTCCCTGCCAGCAGCCCGGCCGCCAGCCCTTCCAGCTGCCGCAGCAAATTAAAAGGCCGATTCGCGCTGAGTGATCCCCAGGGAGGGGGGAGGCGGCTCGCGCGGCATCCAGCCTGGCTTGCTCGGCTCCTCTCTGCTCCACTGGCCATAGCAGGGCTGCCCTGGGCCWCTACCCCCGCTCGGCCATGTCCCGGTGCTTGTGACACCCTGTCGGTGCAGCGGGTTTGTGTGCTGTGCTGCCCATGGGACCGCTGTGTTGGTGTGAGGGTACGGGGTGGCCACGCTCTGGGACAGGGTGTCACCCTCGATGGCTCTGTGCCCAACATGGATCCTACTGGGAGCTGCTGAAGGGGCTCAACGGTCAGGCTGCGGCAGAATGGGCTCTGTGGGAGCCTGGAGYGTGGCCGGCACCTGGGGTCCCCCGCCATGGCACTTAACCCCTTCACACCCTGGCGCCGGGGGAGCACGATGAGCCATGGGTTGTGGGAACCCAGCGGTCCCAGAGGCTCTGGGGTAGGGGGCCGCTGTGGGGCTGCTGTGGGCCAGTGCTGTGTGAGCAGAGGTGCTGCATGGAGGGACCACGAGTCGGCATCGCGGGACTTGTTGTGGAGGGCAGGGGCAGCCTGGCAGTGCCGGGGCAGCGTGGCAGGACAGGGGCAGCGTGGCAGGACAGGGGCAGTGCGGCAGGACCGGGGCGGCATGTTTGGACCGGGGCAGTGTGGTTGGATAGGGGCAGCCTGGTTGGATAGAGGCGGTGCAGCAGGACCAGGACAATGCGGCACCCAGGGGACATCGGGGCCACGTCAGGGCTGTCCGGGGCCGGGCGCCTGCGGCCGGGCTGCCCAGCTGGGCCCTTACGTAAGAGCCGTGAGAGCCAGAGCTGGGCTGCATGTCCGCCTGGCGCCCGCCAGCGTTGCCATGGAAACCAGTCCGGTGATGTCGGTGGCCCGGTACCGCACACCGCACACCACGCACCGCACACCATGCACCAACCGCCGCGCGCCGCGCACCGTGTGCCGTGCAAGGCGCTGGCACCCTGCAGCACCCGCGTTCCCACATGCGGAGCRTGGAGCCCCCCGGGAGCGCAGCGCAGCCCAGCCCCACGGCACCCAGCACGTGCCTGGCCCCACGGYGCCCCACAGCATCCTGCGGCACCAGCCCCTGCCAGCGCCGTGGGCGCTCACACGGGGCCTGCAGCCAGCGCTGGCTCTGCGCCGTCCCGCAGCGATGCTGCCGCGCTGCGCCGGGATGCCCTGCTGCCGGCCAGGACGGAGTCCCCGTGTGCGTGGTGTTTACTGAATTTGGGTGCTTTCCCTAGAGCCCAGCGGTGATTTTGAGCGTGGCGAGCGCCAGACGCGCGTGCAGGGTGTTACGTAATGCGAGCTCCGTGCAGCGCGTCTCAGCGCAGCTGGGCTGTGGAGCAGCGCGCGGCTCCGAGCTGGCAGCAGCCTCGGGCGGGAAGAGCCATCGGGCTGGCAGCGGAGCCAGGGCTCTCCTGCGGGCAGTGCTGCCCAGCACGGTGTGGACCAGTCCATGCGGCCACCCTGGCTGTGCTCCCCACACTGGGAAGTGGGGCTGGCCCCAGTCTCTTGGTTCCCTCCTTGTGGTTCTGGGCCCCGCAGTCCMCAGCCCTGTGGCCACCACTGCTCCCCTTTGCCACCTTTGCACAGTCAGAAGGTCCCTGTCGCCAGGTTGGGAAGCGTTTTGCCCCTCTCCTGCTGCCACGGCACCAGAGGGTGCCAGTGCGTGGGTCCCCTCACCTGCGGCGCTGGTGAAACACTTCCCAACCGTCCGGAAATGGTGTGTGTGGCGGAGGGGCTGGCAGAGCATGAATCACTGCCTCGCGCCGGCACAGCAGCTCCAGTGGCTCCGAGCATCCCCTGCGTGAGCCACACAGCGAGCCGGTGGCCTTGGAGAGCGCAGCCACGGCGGAGCCAGCTCTGCCTTAGCCCCTGCCCAGCTCGGCAGACTCGAGCCTACCCCTCGCCGGCACTGCAGGGGTGACCAGCCCTGTGCTGCTGCTCCAGGCCCGGGCTTGGCAGAAGGGGTTTAACCCTGGGCAGAGCTCAGACCCACTCCCAGAGCGGTCCCAGCCACGTTGCTGCAAGGTGGAGCAGTGCCCATTGCCCGGGGCGGCATCGCCCAGGGCCACCTGCAGTGGGGCAGCCCCCCGGCTCCGTCCTCCCGCGGACACCCCATGGGCATCAGCCGCCTCCCCCAGCACCGGCCTCCCTCTTCCTTCCCCCTTCCCTGGCTCCACCACCGCGCTGAGGAATGCGCCACTCTGGCAGCATCCGTGCTGGCTGCTGCTTTATTTCCAGCCTGATTTATTTCTGCTGCTCTGCAGCTCTCTGCTGCTTTCGTTGCTATTAAGCCCGACTCCCACGTTCCTCAGAGCGAGGTCGTTAATGCAGCGAGGTCGTTAATGCAGCGAGGCCGTTAATGCAGCGAGGTGGTTAATACTGCGAGCCTTGGCGGGTCCTTCCCCGCGCCTCCCTGTGCTGCCGGCAGCGGCCGTGCCGCCCCGGGCCGAGCCGGGGCTGCTCCAGCTGCATCCTGGTGCTGCGGGCTCGTGTGGGGCAGCCGGGGAGCCGTGTCTGCCAGCGCGGCCGCGGGCCACACCGCCCCACGGCCACCGCGCCGCCAGCCCCCCGGCACCAGGGAATGATTGCTGCCATCCCGGGGGGGCGGCCAGGCCGGTTCCCCCCGGATCCACACCAGTCGCTCCGCGGATGCGCTCGGGCGGGCCGCGCTCGCTGAGCCCAGACGCGCAGGGCAGCGCAGGCTMCCAGCCAGGTCCCCCGGCCGGCACAGGGTGCGCTCAGCGCTGCCTCTGCCTCTGCAGGCGATGGCAACCCCAAGGAGAGCAGCCCCTTCATCAACAGCACGGACATGGAGAAGGGCAAGGAGTACGACGGCAAGAACATGGCCCTCTTTGAGGTAGGGCTGGCTGATGGCGGGGCACGGACACGCGTGGCAGGCCGGGGAACCCGCATCCCGCTGCCAGGATGTGCTGGGGCCAGGCTCCTGTGGGGGACCAGTGTGGGACCCTGGAGGGATGTTGGTGTCCTGGCCGGCTGCCCTCACCCCAGCTCTGCTCCCAACAGGAGGAGATGGACACCAGCCCCATGGTGTCGTCCCTGCTCAGTGGGCTGGCCAACTACACCAACCTGCCGCAGGGCAGCCGCGAGCACGAGGAGGCCGAGAACAAYGACGGCGGCAAGAAGAAGCCAGTGCAGGTGGGGGACACATGAGACTTGCAGCCCCTCTCTCCTGTCCCCTGMATTCACAGTCCTGGTGCCGCGCTCCCGCGGGGAGGCTGAGCCCGTGGGAGGGCGGTTTTAGCCCTGGCTCCCTGCAAGGAGCTTTGCAGGAGCAGCAGGACCTGCTGCTGGGTGCAGAGCTCTTGCCCCAGCCCGCTCGCCCTAGCCCTGCTCTCTCTGCCCATCCTGCCGGCCATGCTGTGCCAGGCCCGGCCGCTGCTCACGGTGCCGTGTCCTCCACAGGCGCCGCGGATGGGCACCTTCATGGGCGTCTACCTGCCCTGCCTGCAGAACATCTTCGGGGTGATCCTCTTCCTGCGCCTCACCTGGGTGGTGGGCATTGCTGGCATCATGGAGTCCTTCTGCATGGTCTTCCTCTGCTGCTCCTGCGTGAGTGCCGCTGCCGTGCGGGGACGGGGACGCRCTGTGCGGGGTGCAAGGAGCAGGGCAGCTCGCGTGTTACGAGCTGGTGCTGCATATTCAGGAGCTCCTGCCCCAATTACTGCCAGGAGAAACCTTCAGCATCCTGAAGGAGCTGGGAGTAAAGCAGGGGTTTAGCTGTGACCCAGATGGCACCGCTGGTGGCGGTGGAGGGGCAGAGGTGCCGGCATGCAGGGGCTGCCATTAGCCCAGCTGGACTGTCTGCCCAGGCACCCCACGAGCCTGCAGCCCCCACAGCGCTCATCCCCTGCAGGGGCTWGGGCCCTTCCGGCCTGGCCTGTCCCCCGCCGTGGGCCCAGGGATCCCCATGTCCTGCCGTGGCCCTGTGGGCCCCACATCCTCCCTGTGCCAGGGCCCCACTCCCTCCTGTCCGGTGTGGGGCTCTGCCCAGCCCTGACGCTGCCTTCCCTCCCACAGACCATGCTGACGGCCATCTCCATGAGCGCCATCGCCACCAACGGCGTGGTGCCAGGTAGGCACGCGGCCGCGCCTCCCCGGGGCGAACGGGGGGCTCTGCCCGGGCGGGGGGCTCCGTGCACCCCCAAATGGGCAGGAGGGAGCATCCTGCCTGCRCCGGGTGCAGGTGCTGCTGACAGCGCAGCCCGTCATGGGTCCCCTTGCTGGGACAGCGCCACAAGGGCAGGTGGCTCCACAGCCACCGCTGCTCCCCGCACCAGACTGGGAGCTGCGGGAGCAGCAGGCAGGAATGAGGTGCCAGCCGCGGGGCTGCTCCCTGCACGGGACGGGGACACCCAGGGTGCCACTTGGTGTCACCCCGCAGCCCAGACCCCGTTGCACGGGGCTCCCTTCCCTGGCCTGCTGCCGGTTGCCGCATGGGCACAGCGCTCACAGCCCGTGCAGGGTTAATTGGAGCCATTCATCATTCTGCCAGCCGGGACCGCCCAGCTCTAAGGGCTCCGCTGGGAGCAGGAACCTTGTCCCTGGGGCCCGCGCCTGCCTCCACGTGCAGGGATGTGTGTCCTGCCGCTGCTGCTAGCTCCCAGCAATGTCTCTCTGGGTGGCTGAGCCCCAGCAGCTGCTCCGTGCGGGAGCACGTGAGGCTGCGGAGACACTGGCTCCGTCCTGCCCTCCGGACACCTATTCGGGACCAACCGCGGCTTCTCCTGGCAGCTGGCGGCTCCTACTACATGATCTCGCGCTCGCTGGGGCCGGAGTTTGGCGGGGCCGTGGGGCTCTGCTTCTACCTGGGCACCACCTTTGCCGGCGCCATGTACATCCTGGGCACCATTGAGATCCTGCTGGTGAGCACTGCGCAGCGYGAGCGCCGGCACCGCCGGCCACCCTAGGGCAGGAGCCGCCGGCGTCATAGCCGTGCCTCTCTTGCAGGCCTACATCTTCCCAGCCATGGCCATCTTCAAGGCGGAGGATGCCAGCGGCGAGGCGGCGGCGATGCTCAACAACATGCGCGTGTATGGCACCTGTGTGCTCACCTGCATGGCCACCGTGGTGTTCGTGGGGGTCAAGTACGTCAACAAGTTCGCCCTGGTCTTCCTGGGCTGCGTCATCCTCTCCATCCTGGCCATCTACGCCGGTGTCATCAAGTCGGCCTTCGACCCGCCGAGCTTCCCGTGAGTAGCACGTCCCAGGGCGGTGTTGGGAGCCCCGCGCAGCAGCTGAACCCCTGCTCCTGCCCCGCCAGGATCTGCCTGCTGGGCAACAGGACCCTGTCGCGCCACGGCTTCGACCTCTGCACCAAGCTTGTGGTGGAGGGCAATGAGACGGTGGGCTCCAAGCTCTGGGAGCTCTTCTGCACCTCCCGCTTCCTCAACGCCACCTGCGACGAGTACTTCAGCATGAACAACGTCACGGAGATCGAGGGCATCCCCGGTGCTGCCAGCGGCCTCATACAAGGTGGGCACGCGGCGGTGCGGAGCTGCGGCCGGCACACGTTGCGTGGTCACGGCTGCTCTGGTCCCATGTGCCGCCCACGGCAGCACCGGGCGGGTAGTGCTGGTGGAGCAAACGCGCCGGCTGCYGGTGCATGCGGTGCATGCGGTGCATGTGGTGCAAGCCAGACTGCCAGGGAGAGAGAATCGTCCCGGGGCCGGAGACAAGAGATGCTGCCGCGGTTTCCGGCCCTTGCGAGGGGTATTGATCTGTGGTTTCACAGGAGAAACGGCCCCAGGGGGGCCCTTGTCTGTGCTGGGAGCGGAGCTCGTCCACGAGCCCTGGAGAGGGGCCAGGGCCCGGCGGCCGTTCACGTTTGCTGGAAGGAGCCGCGCTGACCCACTGCAGCGCTGGTGCGCGGGGCTGTCAGCAGCGCACGGTGCTCCTGCAGTGCTGCGGTGTTTGCAGGGAAGGGCCATGGTGGGGACATGCTGGAAGCAATCTGGGGACGGTCCCRCAGCCAGGACCCCCGCCTGTCCCCCGGGAGCAGAGGGGCGGGCGGTGGGCAGGTAGAGCAGGGCTGGTGCTTGTGCTGCTGCCCGTGCTGTGGCGTGCGGGGACAGCGCAGCCACGTGGGGAAAGGCTTCGCTGAGCATGTGGCCCYGGGGCTGCGGCTGCCAGGCTGCATCAGGGTGCTCGGGAAGGCATTTGCTCAGTGCTCAGGTGGCTCTTGACAACTTTTCCTGCTCTGGTCCAAAGTGGCAGATAAAGAGGCAGGGAGAAGCGTGTCCGTGGCGGGAGCACRAGCCGTGGTGGCAGCAGGAGATGCTCGGCCATGGGGGCTGCCCCAAACGCCACCAGTGTCATCTGGGCGCACAGCGAGCGGGGTCYGGGACCGCCAGCCCTGTTGCAGCCGTGCCGGCAGCACTGGTACTGCAGCTGCTCCAGCTGCTCCTGCGGAGCTGCGGCCAAGGCAGCACGGGAGGGCAGCTAAGCCTGTTACATCAGCCTGGACTCGTAATCCCATCAAAAACATTAGCAAGTTCCTTTGACACGATCCACTTTCCTTAAACCTGGGTTGATCAGCATTAATTATATTACCCTCTTAATTATTTGCTGCTGGATTCCCATGTCAGCTGCTCTACTATCTTGCTGGGAAGGGTGCCAGTGGCAGGACCCCACCTGCTCTGGCTGCCCTGTCCCCCCGGCCCAGCCAGGGGCTCCCGCACTGTCTCCTGAGCTCCCGCGTCCCGGTGCTCCGGTGTTCGTGCGAGTCCGTGACTGGATGGGATGCAGGCGAGCGGGCTGCACGCCCGATGGGCATGGCTGCAGCCAGGTGCAGGCGGGCGGCCTGTCCATCCCTGGGCACCTTGGGCTCCGTCCCGTCCTCACAGCTGCCCCGTCTCCGCTCCCGCGCAGAGAACCTGTGGAGCTCCTACCTGACCAAGGGCGTCATCGTGGAGAAGCGGGGGCTGCCCTCCGTGAGCCCCCCCGACACCCCCGTGGACATGGACCAGCCCTACGTCTTCAGCGACATGACCTCCTACTTCACGCTGCTCGTGGGCATCTACTTCCCGTCGGTGACGGGTGGGTGCACGGCGCGTGTCCCCGCACGTGTTCCCACGGGTGCCGCCGAGCCCACGTGCGGCTGCCGCCCTCCTTGCGGAGCAGCGCGGCGCCGGCGGCGCGGGTGGATCAGAGCCCGCGCCGCCCACGCAGCGCCCGCGCTGGCAGCGCTGACACCTCCGCGCTGACGATGCCGACGGGGCCGTATTTATAGCATCCCCGTGGGAGCAGAGCCCCCTCCGCCCGCGGTCCCCGGGAGGCTCCCGCGCCGCCCTCCCCAGCAGAGCCGACCTTGCACGGCATGGGGATGGGGATGRGAATGGGGATGTGGGGATGGGGTTGGAGCAGCAGGGTTCTGGGGGCTGTGGAGCTGCTCTGAGCCCAGCACCTTCCCACTCAGCACCTTCCCTCCCGGCTCTTCCCCACTGCCGGGTCAGCCTTTCTGCAGTGGCTCACTTGGGCTGRGCTACAGGGAGCCGCCTCCCTGCTGCGGGACCCCTGCCCTGGCTCCAGGGCACCCGGCTGGTCTCCGCTGCCATGGGTGATGCCGCGGAACCRTCCCGTGCCGGTGGCCATCCCAACCCAACATCCTCTGCCTGGAGAGCCAAAGCCCCGCTCTTGCCCAGGCTGTTGTAATTACTATCCCTGCTTGAGCTAATTAAGGGCTGATGAGACAAGTCGCCTAAGTGAGGTTTGAGACTAATCCTTGAGCAGCCGCAGACTCTGGGTGAAGATGCGGGGCGGACGCAGGGGGCRGGACACGAGGGGCCCGGCGGCTCCGGTGCCGGGGGTTCAGCGGGGTCCGGGCTCGGTGTGCTGGCCGTGGCCCCACGGCAGCTCCCATCTCTCCGCAGGGATCATGGCTGGCTCCAACCGCTCAGGAGACCTGCGGGACGCGCAGAARTCCATCCCCACCGGCACCATCCTGGCCATCGCCACCACCTCGGCTGTCTGTATCCTTAGGGGACACGGAGGGGACAGAGCGGGTGGGTCAGGCAGGRCAGGGGACTTGAGGCAGGCGCGGGGACTTTGCATCGCGTGGGAGCTCCTTGACCCCGCGCAGACATCAGCTCCGTGGTGCTCTTCGGGGCCTGCATTGAGGGCGTCGTCCTGCGGGACAAGTGAGTGTCCGGTGGCGGCCCCGGGCAGGGGGACATGGAGGGACCTGGGCAGAGGAGGCACCGCCTGGAGCACTGGGGCTGGGACTGCCGCTGTGGAGGGATGGGGTGGGACGGGATGGAGAGGGGCGGGGGGGCATGGCATGTATGGGAGGTGATGGGATGGGATGGGATGGGATGGGATGGGATGGGATGGGATGGGATGGGATGGGATGGGATGGGATGGGATGGGATGGAGGGGATGGGGTGGGATGCACTGGATGGCAGGGGGCTGCCCTGGTGATGGGACAGGCTCGGGGGGGCCCACAGCCGGTAAGAGGCTCTGGGGAAGCTGCTGCTGCCTGTGGCCCCCCCCCGTGTCCCCCCCGGCGGTGTCTGGCGGCACCTCTGCAGCGGGGCTGCATGCAGGGATCTTGTTTGTCAACAGCGGAGCCGCCGGTGCCGCACGGTGTGGCGCCTGTGTAGGGCAGGCGCGCACCGTGCTGACGCTTCTGGGTCGCCAGCACCAACACAGGCTGCAGCCGTCGCGCGCGCCCTTAATTGCATTTCTCAGCACAGGGAATAGGGAGTCTGGGACAGGGGATGGGGGTGCACAATGCCGGCAGAACCTCTGGACGGAGCTGGGGTTGTGGGTGACACCAGCACCCTGCAGGTTCGGCGAGGCCGTCAATGGGAACCTGGTGGTGGGCACGCTGGCGTGGCCGTCCCCGTGGGTCATCGTCATCGGCTCCTTCTTCTCCACGTGCGGTGCGGGGCTGCAGAGCCTCACCGGAGCCCCCCGCCTGCTGCAGGCCATCTCCCGGGACGGCATCGTGCCCTTCCTGCGGGTAGGCGGCCCTGGAGCAGAGGAGCCTCCCTGTGCCCTCATCCCGATGGCAGCGGGCGGGTGGCCGTGGACACGGTGCGGGGGCAGCACTGGGCAAGGTCGGGATCGCGCCTGGCCCCCCSCCGCTGCCTCTGCGCCGCTTAATGTTGTATCCGCTCTCCCAAGACGCGTTTTTCGCAGCCTCGCTGCTCCAAATCCAAACCGACAGCTCCCCCCAGGGAAGAGCGGGCTAATTTTAACTGGCTCCCTCGCCCTGCCAGCCATTTCTGCGCGCTCGCTCGAGGAACGGCGCCTGCCTGCGCCGCACGCAGCTGCACACGCAGCCAGACGCRCGGCCAGACATGCATCTGCGCTCCCATTTGCACATGCGTCCAGACATGCATCCGGACATGCACACGCACCAGCACTCCCGGGGGGCACCGGGCTGCCGGTGCAGCTGCATTGCGCCCGCCTTGGTGCCCCCCGCCCCGACACTTGCCCTCCTGCCCCTCCAGGTCTTCGGCCACGGCAAAGCYAACGGGGAGCCCACATGGGCGCTGCTGCTCACCGCCTGCATCTGTGAGATTGGGATCCTGATCGCGTCCCTGGACGAGGTGGCTCCTATCCTGTCCATGTAGGCAGCGTGCGGGGGCCATGCACACCGTCGGCGAGCGGCGGCAGGGCCCCGTGTCCCYCTGCACCCCATAACCTTGTGTCCCTGCACCCCGGGCACGCGGGGGCCCTGCCGCTGCCGGCTCCTGCTGGAACGCGACTCAGCCCCTGTTTCTCCGCTGCAGGTTCTTCCTCATGTGCTACATGTTCGTGAACCTGGCGTGCGCGGTGCAGACGCTGCTGCGCACGCCCAACTGGCGGCCCCGCTTCCGCTACTACCACTGGTGAGGGCCACGCTGGGGCTGGTGCGGGCGCTGTGGGCACCATGGGCGCAATGGGGCGATGGGCACAATGGGTGCCATGGGCGGCGGGCACTCACGGTGCTGCTCTCCTGCAGGACCCTCTCCTTCCTGGGCATGAGCCTCTGCCTGGCGCTCATGTTCATCTGCTCCTGGTACTACGCGCTCGTGGCCATGCTCATTGCCGGCCTCATCTACAAGTACATCGAGTACCGTGGGTAGGTGCCGCCGTGACCAGGAGTCCTGCCGGGCCCTGGGCCCCGTCACTGGTGGCTCTGCGGTGACACATCCACGTCTGGTGCTCTCCACAGGGCGGAGAAGGAGTGGGGCGATGGGATCCGGGGCCTCTCACTGAGCGCTGCCCGCTACGCGCTGCTGCGCCTGGAGGAGGGTCCCCCGCACACCAAGAACTGGAGGTGAGGCCACGGCAGGGATGTGGGGGCGCCGCGCTCTGCACAGCTCCTGCTGCCCCCCGGGACACTGGGTGCTGGGGGCCGGGGTGCAGGGGAGCAGGGCTGCGTGGCGCAGGGGGCTGCGGGGCACCGGGGTGCAGGGCAGCGGTGCTGCACGGGCTGGGGTGCGGGGGCTGCAGCTCGGGGTGCAGGCACAGGGCAACCCTGAACAYGGGCCCTTCCTTGCAGGCCGCAGCTGCTGGTGCTGGTGCGCCCGGACCAGGAGCAGAACGTGGTGCACCCGCAGCTCCTGTCCTTCACCTCGCAGCTCAAGGCCGGCAAAGGCCTCACCATTGTGGCCTCCGTGCTGGAAGGGACCTTCCTGGACAACCACCCGCAGGCGCAGCGGGCCGAGGAGGTGAGCGCCCATCGCAGCCGCCCGCTCCCGGCCTTCCTGTGGCCACCGTGGCGGCTTCGCGGCCCTGCTCTGGCCCTGCGGAGCTGCAGCGGATGGGCGGGCGGCACGAGCATCGCAGTGCCRCTGCGCGCAGCCCGCCCCGCCCCGGGCCCAGCCGGGCGGCTCATTAATGAGATTAGGCGCTCGCGAGCAAACAGTCGCTCTCCCGTCAGACACGGTATAATTTCTCAGCGTAAATAACTCTAATTGCTGCCCTGCGCCGTCGCAGCCCTGGCACCGGGGAACCTCACGCACGGTGCAGCCATGCGCCAGCTCTGCTCGCAGCCCTGGAGCTGCCAGCATTGCACACACAGAGCATTGCACACGCAGTGCATTGCACACACCCCTGCACCCACATCCCACACCTGTACCTGCATTGCACAGCCGATGCTCTTCAAACACTCCACATCCTGCAGCCTGTACCCCTCATCCTGCACCCCACAACCTCCCTGCACCCATAACCTGCCCCCCACACCCTCATCCAGTGCCTTGCACCCTACACCCACACACTGCCCCATGCACCCAGCACGTGGCTYGGTGGCATCTCCGGCGGCAGCGTGCCAGGGCTGGCATCCCGCTGTCACTGACTGTCCCCTCTCTCCCGYGGCCAGTCCATCCGCCGGCTGATGGAAGCAGAGAAGGTGAAGGGCTTCTGCCAGGTGGTGATCTCCTCCAACCTGCGCGATGGCATGTCCCACCTCATCCAGTCCAGCGGGCTGGGCGGGCTGCAGCACAACACGGTGCTGGTGGGCTGGCCCCGCAGCTGGCGCCAGAAGGAGGACCACCAGACCTGGAGGAACTTCATCGGTAGGAAGGGGGCCGGGCATGCGCAGGCCCCGGGGCRCCCCAGGCCGGCCCCTGCGATGCGGCCCCTTCCCCTTGCAGAGCTGGTGCGGGAGACCACGGCCGGGCACCTGGCCCTGCTGGTGGCCAAGAACGTCGCCATGTTCCCGGGCAACCAGGAGCGCTTCTCCGAGGGCCACATTGACGTCTGGTGGATCGTGCATGACGGCGGGATGCTCATGCTGCTGCCCTTCCTCCTGCGGCACCACAAGGTAGTGCCGGCGCTGTGGGCCGGGACCAGTGGCCGGGCTGGACCCCGCTGGGCCCACACCTCCCTCCTYGCAGGTCTGGCGCAAGTGCAAGATGCGCATCTTCACAGTGGCACAGATGGACGACAACAGCATCCAGATGAAGAAGGACCTGACAACCTTCCTGTACCACCTGCGCATCACCGCAGAGGTGGAGGTGGTGGAGATGGTGAGCGCCAGGACGGGGGTGCAGGCTGCGCCCTGGGGCATGGGGGATCCTGCCAAGCCCTGCTGCAGTGACATGCAGCGCTGCCAGGACAGCGGGGCTTGTTGGGCTCTGGGGACACACAGCCCCATGGGGACACAGGGGCTGTGCAGTGGCAGCTGGGCCGAGCTGGGGAGCTGCTGGTCTGGCCCCACGGTGTCTCATGTCCCCCTCCCGCAGCACGAGAGCGACATCTCCGCCTACACCTAYGAGAAGACCCTGGTGATGGAGCAGCGCTCCCAGATCCTCAAGCAAATGCACCTCACCAAGAACGAGCGGGAGCGGGAGGTAGGTTGCGGCGGGCTGCTGGGTGCTGCTCCTGCGCCCATCTCCGCCAGCCACCCCCTGAGCCCATCCCCATGCAGATCCAGAGCATCACGGACGAGTCTCGGGGCTCCATCCGGCGCAAGAACCCGGCCAACACGCGCCTGCGCCTCAGCGTCCCCGAGGAGCAGGCAGGCGATGGCGAGGAGAAGCCGGAGGAGGAGGTAGGAGGCGCGCGGGGGGTCCCGCTGGCCCCGCGGCCCAGCCTGCACGCTGCCGGCCACCTCCTCTGCCGCAGGTCCAGCTCATCCACGACAAAAACGCCACCACCTTCTCCAGCAGCTCCCAGTCCCCAGGCGACGAGGTGGAGACAGCCCCGGAGAAGGTGCATCTCACCTGGACCAAGGAGAAGACTGTCGCTGAGAAGAACAAGAGCAAGAGCCCCGTCAGCCCCGAGGGCATCAAGGACTTCTTCAACATGAAGCCGTAGGGTCTCACCCTGCCTGGCTGCATGCCGGAGAGCCAGGGGGCTGTGGGGCAGCGTGGGGCTGGGGGTGCTGGGGCCACAGGCTCTTGCCACAGACTCATCTCCACTCTCTTTCTCTCCTGCTGCCACCACTGTCACTCCGGGCAGAGAGTGGGAGAACCTGTAAGTTGGGCTCAGTGGGGTCCAAGGGACAAGGGGCCCGGGTGGCCTCGTCCCCATCCCTCACACACTGTGCTCCCAGGAACCAGTCCAACGTGCGGAGGATGCACACGGCTGTGAAGCTCAACGAGGTGATCGTGAAGAAGTCCCAGGACGCCAAGCTGGTCCTGCTCAACATGCCAGGGCCACCCCGCAACCGCAAAGGCGATGAGAACTGTATCCTTCCTGTGCCATGGGACCCTGGGGGCCTGGGCACCCCAGACGCCTTGGGCAGCTTGCAGGCACTGCTCGGATCTCTGCAGCACTGGCTGCAGCTGCACGGACTGGCCGAGGTGCCACAGTGCTAGGGCCACGTGTGACGACTCTGGGCCATGTGCAACTGTGTTGGGGACACATGGTGCTGGTGTTGGTTGTCTGACAGTGCTGGGCAGCATCTGACTGTGCTGGGCCGTGAGTGACCGCGCTGTCATGTAGGTGCAGAGGTGCCTTGGGTCGCTAGGCCAGGTCAGTCTCTTTCACACGGAGCTGCTCCCGCTCCCCCATTCCCAGCTCACACGCAGCCCCCACCGGCTCCTGCACGTCTTGTCCCGGGGGAGGGGCTGCAGYTGGCTCCGCCCCCAGCCTGTGCCCGTGCAGCCCCCCCGGTCCCCACCCCGCTCCCGCCCTGGCCCCGGCCCCGGCTCCAGCCCCGCTCCTTGACTGTGTCTCCAGACATGGAGTTCCTGGAGGTGCTCACGGAGCACCTGGACCGCGTGCTGCTGGTGCGCGGCGGCGGCCGGGAGGTCATCACCATCTACTCGTGAGCCCGGCGGCCCCGCGCGCCCGGCCTGCCCGCCCGGCCTGCAGCCCCAGACCTTCCGGGAGCGTCAGCGCCAGCGCGGCCGCTCCTCCCCGCAGCACCGAGCACGGCTCTCCTTGTGTACATATAACTAGAGACAGTAGCGCGGGCTGCCGCCCGCAGCGCCGCCCACGAGGCCGCCGCTCGCGCCCGCCGGACGCTCCGCTCCGCATCTCGCCGAGACGCCGGTTTGCCGGGCGGGGCGGGGGGACCGCTCGGGCCGGGGGGGCACCGCTCCTCATCCCCCTCCCCGCTGCCCCGGGGCTGCCGCTGCCCCCCCGCTCGGGGCCGGGT